CGTATATAATTCTTTTGTAATATTTAATGTGAAAAAATGTTCAAAAATTTCTTTAAATTTGATCATTTTCATTGTGTGTGCGAATCGTAATAACGATGAGTCCTACGCGGCTTAACGCGACAGAAGAGAAAATTGAAATGCATGCTACTGTAATACTCTCATAGCTTGTCATTCTCATTCGCTGCATCACTACAAGAATGTCAAGGTCTTCTATGTGTGTTTTTGTAAAAAAAAAAAAAAAAAAAAAAAATTTAAAAAAAATATAAAAAATAAAAAAATAAAAATAAATAAATAAACAAAACTGCATTTATATACGTCGCTACAGTTGTCATAAACTTATACGAATATATATATATATATACATATATATATATATATATATATATTTATTTATATTTGGTATACAGAAATGCACTTATATTTATTTTTAATTCAACCAATGCACAAATAGTTTTTCATACGTGAAAACCAGATAATTTTGTATTTAAAAAGAAAAGAAAACGTGCAAAACACTTGTCTTTCAATTAATTAAAATTCTGCAGTTAAGTTATAGATGGCACCACGCGAAATTCGTGGAGTGCCAAAGCAAAATGCAATTAAGCATAACTTTTTCTTTCTTCGTTTCTTCTTTTCGCATAATCATCGTTAAATACAGTTATATACCTAATGTAACGCACGAGATTATGCAAAATATAATCAATGCTACGGTCCGGACTAAATGCGATCATTTTTTTAAAATGTACATTTTTTCTTCTCTTGCACACCGTATACACGGTACCATCGGGACATGATTTTATTATTGTGCTTATGAAATCAAAGTGTAGGCGTAACACTGAAGATGATCTGAAGATTTTAACTTATCGTTTCCTTGGAAATTTGAAAAGATGAAATTCAAGCCGAGTTCGTAAAATGATGATGAATGATTCCTTCTTAATGTCGCGACCATGCTCGTCTTCTCAGGCGAGACTCATCTTCCATCTCAATGATTCGATGCATAAGCAATATTTTCGTCCAAGTTATTCACAAGATGCGATAACATATCATAACAAGGACTGTTTTGTGTGGCTTTTCGGACTATTGGCCCATATAGAAAACCTTCATATATGAAAATCTCATTGCCGTGACAAGACTGGCTAAACAGACCGATATTAACAAGTTTTTTATGGCCTTGATGGGAAGAAGCCAATCTAAACAACGTCTGGTTTCAACAAAAGCTCAATAGTTGTGAAAGTAAATTCCTTCGGTCTGCCCTCGGCATGTTAGTTACAAAAAAAAAAAAAAAAAAAAAACCCTTTAAAATGAATATATATATAATTCCTATCTGACATAATTACAATTTAGAGCAAACTTTTACTTACAAGTTAAAATTAGTTTGGAATTATTTCATTTCTGTTAATTATTTGCACTTTTTTATATATATATATATATATATATATATATATATATAAAGCAAACTAGTGAAGTCAGCAATTGTTATATAACTTTTGATTGTGTTGTTGATACTTACTTACTCAAGCGTTAAGAATTATTTATTGCACTTAAAACACTTGCAGATCTAGAGAAGGGTGTGTGTGTGTACCATATTACTCGGTGAGTTTCTGCGCCTGATACATATTTATCATCACTGTTGACAGACCCATACGATTTTTGAGTAATATCAGCCTGCAAACGATACATGACGAAATTTCACGACATTTTCACAATTAATTGCAAAGTTACAAAAGTAAAGCGTTTTGGTGACACTATTTTTGTACTACTTTTCAAAAATATCGAAAAATCTGAATTTCGTTGTTTGCAATTAGCGCAATCGGTTTTGCAAGATCTCACGGTGACTCGTTTCGATTGAAAAAATAAATTTGTAGATGGTTTGCCAATTTGAAACACAGCCACGATGATAAACGCTCTCATCACTCGAAAAGAAAAGTTCACAAAATCGTTTTGAAAGATCAAAGAGTGGTGTTTGCGTAAGATGGCTTTTCCAGTCCATCTGTTGGAAGATTTGTCCTTGAGAGCGGGTCTATCCGAAGCGGTTGCCGCATTTTCACACACTTTTGACAACAATGTGTTGAGGCCTTTGTGCACTATATGGTAATGAATGAAGCATACGCTCGTTAATACCCTCTAGTCAGCTAGAGTGGACAAAAACAGGCGTAAGTCGTCCAAAGTGCCCAAAATCGAACGCTACGAAGGTAACTGTAACTTGTAAGCTAGAGTTCGTAATTCCGTGAAATTTTGACAGGTAACGTTTGAACATTGATACGATCTAGACGTGATTATGGGCTTGAAAACAGGCGGAAGCTTATAGAGCGATGCGATACGTACACACGTGAGTTTCGCTAAAACTTGGTTTTTGTTAATACGAACTCTTTCGTATGATACGGCTTAAACGCTTTTCAATACATGAATAAGAAAACGTTGCAAGTCCGTATTTAATTATGATAAGAATTTTGTTCAAAAAAAAACCTGGAAGATTTGCTTTCGTCCATAACTAACCGCTTGCGGTACAAACTCATATTAAAATTATGCGGATGTACGCAACAGGCAGAAGGACCTGATATAGAGCGACGTTATATTATACCAATCGATTCAAAGTCACTTTTTGAATCGACCTACATTTATTTGCTCGCTCGTCTTCTTGTCCGTCTATCCGTTTTGTCATTTTGGGCTTAAACTAGGGGTCGCAATTTTCGACACATTTCGAGATATTCATGTTTAAATCGGTAGACGAGGACTATTGTAAATTGTTCGGATAGGGCTACAAGGCCTTGAAAAGTTGATATATATGAATAGCTTTTATTAAGCGTAGTGGCATTGAGCCCGTGTTCCACTATAGTGTTTTTATCTGTGTTTTTAAAGCTTAATTCATTCGTTCAGTATCCGTACAAATGTATTCTGATATCTTCGATTTCAGCCAAATGAAACTTCCTGCGATAGTGCTGGATATTTAACTCGCATGAGAGAGAAAAGCGCTCTCTCTGTACTCTCGCTTAACTAGTGCGCTTTTATTTTAATCTACGTTGTTTCACATTTTTTCCTGTTTATTGCCCCCATTGAATTTGTGTACCAGATGGGATCTGTTGAGGCGTTCTTGCATTCACATTATACATATATTTGTGTAATGATCACAGTACTCTACGCATATTCATCATATATACAAATAAACTTTTCGTTTTTTATTGACTCGAAAGGCAACAATAACAAATAGGTAATCGGATGAAAGATATCGATCTGAGTTGAATAAAACTATTTTCACTATTAAAGTGATGCATTATGTTTTGGGTCGGTGGAGGCAGGCATCGTATGTATTGCATGCAAACCGTATGATTATGTCAATCATACCTTACGGTAATGACCGCAATAGCTTATTATAATTTAGTATTATTCGTTCTGGCGACATGTCGTATTCAAATAATTTGTGATCGACGGCGTTATAGTATAACCTGTAAATCCATGTAATTTTCGTTTAATCCCCAAGTTTAAAAAATTAAGCAATGTTAACATAGAAGACATGAAAGAGATAATTCGGGCTTTTTTTTGTTGTTTATTGTACCCGATTTTTATAGGGGACTAAAAGTATACACTCCCTTACCATCATATCATTAATCCGCAGTTATGCAAATGCATTGTGAGTTAATGTAACCTTAAAAAAATGCTTTATTTAAATTGGTTTATGTGCAAGAATGGTATTTGAAATGGAAAAGAAACAATGCTAAAAGAATGCAATAAAAATATTCAAGATATGTATTTAGATTATGCTCCTACTAAAACTGCTCCTCCTACTCGACTAGTTAACTCTATACTGTGTAATCTTTTAGCATTAACAATAACTTTGTCGATCATTCATCGCATATTATTATGATCGGTAGATGAGTAATGAATTCTTTATAATTCGATTGCGATTTGCTATATAAAGCTTTTCCATTGTGCTTTAACCTTCAACGTTTAGTTCTGACTCGTTACTGTCTGGCAAATTAAATAAAGTATTCACAGCAAATTTCTCTCGTCACCCATTAAAAAGCGGATCTTTCCTTTAATTAGGTTATAAATCGAGATGAAAAATGGATTCTCTGCCAAAATATGATAAGAAAACTAAACTATCTACGGTATAGACTGAATCGACTTCAATCAAATTATTATTAAGAATTTTGCCCATAAGTGCCGTGATCAGATCACTTAACTCAGTATCTGAAGCTAAGCAAAAAGTCTGCATTTTATTAATCAAGAAGTTTCATCACAATCGTGTCAAACGGTATGTCATTCGAGCGAGAAAAAACAAATGTAAAAATGAAAGAATTAAAAAAGAAAATTTTGCAAAATCAAAAATTAAAAATTGTTACAAGTCTCTCTTTAAAGAAAAAGCTTAGGTACTGTCCTACTACAGGTCACTTATAGGAAATAATGAAGAGTTCATTGTTGATAAATAGATATATCTGATGGGATGAGAATATAATTATTTTTTGATTCTTTTATTCAATAAGAATATAATTATTCTTTGCGAAAGTAAAGTTAGACTTAAGTCGTTTTGACTTTGGAAAGGAAATTAATTTAACTTTATTTCCTTTCCATTGTACATGACCATGAAACCAGTGAACCATAATATATTAGAGCATGTGTTCATAGAGTAAAATAAATTGCTTTCTAATTTTTCATTTCAATAACAAAAAAAAAAAAAAAAAAAAAAAAAAAAACACCTTTTTTTCCCATAATTAATAAAGTCTTTGCTTTATTTCATTATTTGTGAAATTATGAATAAAATATGAATAAAGTATTTGAACCTGAAATCGATTGTCTACGAAACGTAGTGCAACAGTTTTACATATACGCATAACATATCTAGGGGAATGCATTATAGATGAGGAATATGTTTAATGCGTTTTGCATATCGATGCCATTGGTTTTTGTTTTTTGTTTTCTTTGATTTGCAATTAGGTTTCAGTTCATTTTAATTATAATGTGTTTTGTATTTAAATAAAAATTTTTTAAAAAATCTTATAAAAAACATTTGTTTTTTTTTTTTAATGTATTTTCAATGTATTTTTCCTTATGTGATTGTGTGTGCAAGAAGGGGGAGGGGGCTGCAAGAGATTTATTTGCTGCATACATGAAGAAAAAACGTATGTGATTTTAAATATTGTTTTCATTTCGGATGTTGTTATTATTTCGTTCATATCTCTCGTTTTTCCTACAATCAAAAAAAAAAAAAAAAAAAAAAAAAAAAAGAAAATCAAAAACAAGAAAAGAAAAACCAAATTTTTTTCGTGTAATTTCTTTTGCACTCTCATCAAAGTATCAGTTGAGGTCAGTCAAAGGCGGAAGATGAGTTCTTGGTAAAAGCGCGCTAAATGAAACGTGGATGCAAATGAATTAAATTCAAATTATAAAATAAAAAAAAAAAAAAAAAAAAAAAAAGAAAACAAAACAAAAAAGGAAAAACGAAAAGCAAAAACAAAAGATAATAATAATAATAATAATAATAAAAATAGAACAAAATTACAAAACACAACAACAAGAATTCGAAATAATATTTGAAAAATTAATCAGTCAGTTTGTGATTATCATCTCTTACGCAACACATCAACATTATTGTTCGTTAGCAATCAATCCAAGCGCGTCGATTATTTAGAGAATTCGTATTTGTTTATTTATTTATTTATTTATTTATTTATTTATATATATATATATAATTATTTATTTAGAAATATTCGTTTCTATCGTGGATTTACACACGCGCCGGTATATGTCGCAAAATTTGCAGTCTTTCGTATCGTTAGCAAATTTACGAATTCAAGCTGATTTCCTCAAAACCGCCGCTCCCACCTATCACAAAAACGAAATCGTGTTTACGAGACGATTGCGAATTGCAAACATTTACGAATGTAATGCAAAAACATAGCAAGGTGGCGGTGCCGAAGCATAATTCACGTGAAGCTTGCCTATCGGCCGCTACCGCTATCCGGCATCAAAACGCAAGAATGTCTTTAAAACGGCATGTCGGACCCCCACCAGTTGCTTCCTCGAATACTGGAGTGTTAGGTCGGCCGAACAATTCTTTAATTTTGACAAATGTTAGTATTATTTCATTTAAACAAAACGCACACATCTACATACAAATCTCACAACAAAATCAAAAATTATGTTCAGTTTTTTGGCGGCTCAAAAAGATTATTTAAAAAAAAAAAAAAAAAAAAAAAAAATCCTTTTTCAAAAAACTGACACTAGGCGAAATTTCAAGTCTTGATAGAAAATTTTTATTTTATTAATAACATGTGTTAAAAAAAAAAAAAAAAACCAAATTCTTTAAAATTTGTTTCAAATCCTTTTCGTCATCTGATATATAATGTGTTTCAAAATTGGATCTTTGGATTATATAACATTTCAGAGTTTGTAATTGTTTTTTTTTTTGGTTTTTGGAAATTTATTAAGTAATCGTTTCAATTATTAAAGGGTACGAAAATAAATTCGAATTTAATTAGCAAAGACTCCTACCTATCATATCGTTTAGCTCTGTGCACGCCGTACCAGTGGTCTGTTAATTGCTTAACATTCGAATATAGTCGGATTTGAAAGCCTACTCTTTGCTTAATAAAAAATGTAAAATATTTTCGTGGTGACTTCTGTATTGAAATCTGTATGAAAACACCTCTCAAACAAGCTGAACAAATTCAAATTCTGCTTATGGGAATAATTTTTAACAATTTTTTGAAATTTGGCTTGTTAGCGAACAATGGGTAAGGAAGGGCATTAAAATTTCGGGATCTAGTGCAGCCGAACTAGAAAATGTCATCTATATGAACGTAGTGGGTAGTGGGCTTTCGAAATTCGCCAACTATATCTTAATTTTAACTAATTAACAGAGATCTGTTACGAGATGCGTAAGTTGGTGTCTTTGCTGGTTAAACTCGAATTTGTCTTCACATCCTTTAGTTATTAATATTTTTATATATATATTTTTTTTCATATTTGAAATATAATTTCGTTTAATTAATGTTAAGTCATTAAGCAGTATGCGCATGCTTTTATTTATAATGGTTCGTGGTTCCTGGTGGTTCATAATTGTGCTTGCACTATGACTATAAGAAAATTCATTTAAAATCTAGTGTAGTATTACTCTTTATGAATTGTTTACGTTCCGCAATCATAACATTTTGATGTTATTTGTATCGTTGATGATATATAAAATTGCATACATAAATTATTATTGAGGTTAATTTTAACTCGCGTATGCCAATAATACCAAGTATAACAATTATAAACTTTTAAATTATTTACATGATAAAGGTCAGTCATGTGCACATGTAAATATATAGAAGAATTTTACATTTTCCAATGGAAAAGTTGTACATCAGATTGTGCATCACTTGAATTGTTAATGTCTTCGTCGATACCTGTCGATAGATACGAAATTTGTATATATATGCGATAGTGTGCACAAAAACTAATACCAATAGTCCAAATATCAGAAATATTTTTCTGATTTTTTCAATTGGTAGCAATTTGTGTCAAATTGCGTTATGCAAAACAAAAAGTATATTTTCCGATTTTTATAAAGCGTGAAATTGTTAAGCAAAGAGCTATCAATCGATCGTGAAGAGCCTTGTTACGCGAGATGAGACTTGGCAGCAGAAATCAGAAGCAAGCAATCAATCGCGGTCGAGATAATCGCACCAAAGTCGCTTTAAAATCACGGCGATATTGAAAATTTCGTTCGATTAGCGTGCACCATGAACTCCTACCGTCGGGCCAATATGTTAACAAAGCACTTTATTCGAATCTTATGCGCCGTTTGCGTAAAGTGATTCGCAAAAAGAGACTCGAATAAATTTAAAGAAAAGACATAAATAAATTGGTCTTGAGCCGATAGCCTGTGTTGCTAGTGCTCAATGTCTTTTTTTTAGTCTAAGAATTCAATTCATTAGTCTAAAATTAAAATAATAATAAATTGGTCTTACTTTTTGGACAAAGTAGTAGGATGAAATTGCTGTCTTGCCTTGCCGTTCCATACGAATCTTTTAAACATTTCTTTAATAAAACAATTGCTTGAATTTAACAAATATTTTCGCTCGATAGAAAATCGAAATTTGCAGTTTAGTTATTAATAATATTACTATGTAAATATTATACTGAGATATTGTGATTTAAAAAATTTTAACAATAAGCCGTGGATATTTTTTTTTTTTTTTTTTTTTTTTTTTTTTTTTTTTTTTTCCTGTATTATTCACTTTCCCCTAATCGGTATAAAAAATAAATGTAATTTTATTGAATTATTGTTATAGTACCATGAAAGTTAAATGTAATTTTAATTAGAATTAATTAGAATAGCTAACCTAAGATATATTGTGTTATTATTACAATCACGAACGATAAGTTGGGCATGTGTGTATGTTCATTTTGTGTAAACGTTTGCTACAATCAAAAATTTTTTATTATGTATATGGCATTCGTCACAACTATTCAGGCATGTCCGTCTGTCCATTTTTGTAAATGTGCGCAGCCTTGTCAAGCACGGACCTAAAATGCAAAGCGATACAAAATTCGTGCATATTAAGTAAAGTAATTGCCATCCAACCAACACGTGGTACATAGCTATTTTATAGCACGGTTTCGATACAGAACGCGACGAGTTAACGAAGTAACGAACTGAGCGGAGGACGACTGTATCGATTCTAAATTTCGCTAAAAGAGTAGACGTCAAACAATGCACGCACAGTACAGCAATCGTGCAGCGGATAGCACCTCTACTTTTTCTCAATAAGAATTTCTTTTTGCGCCATATACAAAAATGGCGAATAGACGCCCACGCCTATCAAATCTTAATAGAGTGTTGCCACTTTATTTTTTGTTTTAATTTTTTTTGCTTTTGACGGTAGGCAGTGCGTGTATGACTTTCGGTTAAAATCGCATTTAATTTTTCTGCCGCTTGTTTGCATTGATTAATTGTGAAATTTTGATCAAAAATTCGAATTACTCTAATTAAAGATTAGAAATAATTGAAAACTGACACAATTCTGTTAAGAGTAATGGCAACCACATAGGAACATACAATTCGAACTTTATTCAATTGTTTAATTATATGCCAATCGAAATCATGCATAGATTGTGTTGGTTGCTTGCGAATAAGTTAAACGCTCCGATAAATATTCCATCATATTTGTATAATATTTTTCTTATGAAATATCTGAAGGAAATGTTACGATTAATTGCATCATTATTCTAACGAGTAATTTATTGAAATAATTTGAAAGGGAACAATACGAGTTGAGCAGAATAAGAATGAATATCATATGAAAAGGATGGAATATATTGGTTTGAAAAGTTGGCGGATATCATTAATTAAAATGCTGTCGTCATTTTTTTCATTTATGCGCCCGAAGATTTAACTAAACATCGCAACAACAACAAAAAACACAGTGAAATTTGAAGATTATTTATATGAAATTTTTGATATTAATGTAACGTCTCTCTTGAACTCCACATAGACCTTGGTTAGAGAATTCGGCGAAAACATCACCATATTATATATATATATATATATATATATATATATTCAACTGTGTCTATGACGTTGAATTACTTACGTATTGATTTTTATTTAGCATATAGAGTGCTTCACCGAGTTGTTAGCACTATGCACTATGCCTCGGTTTATTGAAACTGTAGACAAGAACTTTGAAAATTCTATGCCATAAACACTTAATTCCTAATAGAACGCGTAAGCAATAAATTTAGCACATTGTCATCTCTATTTAGTGCAACATTATTCAAGTCTCTTTCAATACGATCGCATTATCGTAGAAAATGCAAAATCCTAATTCGAAGCAATAGAGAAATGGGAAGCAACATAATCTTGAAAGAAGGAAAATAAAAATAAAAAAAAATTTATATATATATATATATATATATATATATTCCGATTTAATTCAGTTCTTTTGTTCATCTGTCCCTCAGTCCTTGTTGCGAAATGAACCAAAAAGCATATACTTATGCTAACCTCTAAGGTATATACTCATAGGAATCTTTCCTAAAGTAAAGCAGTGTAAATATGATCGCGATCGATCAAATATATTTTAAATAATATCTCACGATCTTAAGATATTGTTTCTAGATGATTGGCTTGAATATTGACAATTCGTTCTATGGGACTTATATGTACATATATACACGTATTATATATTAGCGATATGTAAAATTTTGGCTAATCATGAAAGCAACGAAACGTACACCATTACAATGATCGCAGTCTGGTGGAACTCTAACCATAAAAATTTATTGCGTACATATAATTAAGTTTTTTTTTTTTTTTTTATTGCTTCGTATGCACGTAAGAAGTGAAAGCTTGCCAAAAAATTTATAAAGCCATATATATATATATATATATGTACATGTGTTTGCGTACGTGTCTGCGTATGTGTGTAAGGATGAGAGAGTAGTTTTAGTGTGCTCGTGTAAACAAATGCTATAAACGGTAGACAATGTCTGTAGACGAGTAAACACCGAAACTATTCTCTCATCCTTAAGGTTAAATTCTACATAAATTAATTTGTATTTATATGCATGCATCTAAAATTATCTATACGTCGATTTGTAGTATGTTATACATATATATAATATATGCAAACCTCTATACCACATATACACATATTTATCAAATTGTTTTTAATGAATTATTTTACAGAAAATACCGACAGTTACGCCGGGCTATGATAACGAGAAGCATTACGGTACAAGGAATAGTAGCACCGTGAGCATAAATCAATCAAAGTATGTGTTCAAATTTAATTTATCTTTCAATCTCCTCTTTAAAAGCTTGAAATTAAAAACCTATAACGGGCGTTAACAAAAAAAAAAAAGAGAAAAAAAATATTTTAAGAACTCGTTTGAAAGCTTACAAGAATGTATAAAAATATTGACAATAATTCTTCAACTACCATGTTTGAAATGTACTCTTCTTCGGATAGATTTTTACGTCCTGATATGGTAGATGTGCCGGCCCAACAAGCAGCAGGCTCTACATTACCATTAGTGTTAACTAGGAAAAAAGGTGGCGGAGACGATACTGAAGATGTTAACTACAATCCATTTGAGCATCGCAAGATTGAGCATCCTACCTCGTAAGTACTGTATTTAACAAATTTTTTTGGGAAATATGCGACTGAAGAAAGAGAATGAGAAAAAATGAAAGAGAGAAGGAGAAAGAGAGAGAAAGAAAGAGAAAGAAAGAAAGAAAGAAAGAAAGGAAGACAGAGAGAGAGAGAGAAAGAAAGAGAAAGATAGCGAGAGAGAGAAAGAAAGAAAGAGAAAGATAGCGAGAGAAGGGATAGAGAGGGTTGAGAAAGGCAGTGTACTGATATTGTTAACTTTAAATATATGAAATATATATTCGGAAACCCTGATTAAAATTATCTAAGCCTTGAAGATGATTGGTTGATCTTGTTTTCGAATTTAGACGCAAGAAACTGATAAGTACAACATTTCGATGCATTTAGATTACGTTTCAACATTTCAACTGTTCGTGCCGAGCATATGTCGAGCGTTGTGAAAATGAGAAAATATTGTCGGTCGAAGGATCCGTCTAAAACACAACATAAGAAGAGATCAAATCTCTGCTTTCAAAAATTAAAAAAACAAAATACTCAAGTTTTTCATTCAGATAGATCCGCATATTTTTGGGATGATCCTATAAGCGCTGTACAAACATAGAGGAAGTCTGCCGCACCCAAGCAATTACAAAGAGTATCAAAATTTTATTTTTTTACCAAAACTACCTACAAACACAACAAGCAATGCTTAACTTCCTTTATAGTTATAGTTAGTCATTAGTTGGTATAAATATTTTACTCTGTTAACGGGTTGGGTATACTCGTCTTCGCTGAAAAATATCGAAACAATTAAAAAGCTATTAAAGTTGTAAACGTATTTCTAACAATTATTGCATAATTGATTCTACTTTCCACGTTAATGAAGAATAGAATTTTTGATGCATATTTCTAAGCGTTACAAATATTTAGGAAGTCTTGCATAGTGCTTAGGATACATATAAAATTTGGTTTAATAATTCATTTGACTCATTTATTAGCCCAAAATATTTTCCTCTCAATAATAAAAAAAAAAAAAAAATTTTTTTTCGAAAGTTTTTCAAGATATTCAATAATATAAGAAACATTTTTTTTTACATTGTGTTTTGCGTTAACTGAGACAAGTCAAGAGAGCTAGTAGTTATACCTGTTTATTATAATATCGGGAATTAAGTATAATATAATGTAGAGAATAAAAATATGCATTAGGGCGAGGGACAATTTTTATATGATTTCGATTCCACTAGTATGATTATGAATAGGAATCTTTTAACTACGTATGTTTCTACATAATTTTAAGTACACCATATGTTAAATATGCTATATTGGAGTTTCAGAACTTAGGCAACAGTGAAAACGATATCAAAATGTAAAAGTATATTTAAGTCCTTCTTAGGGCCAATTCTGCACGATATTCGATCAGTGATCGTTTTTCAAAAGCCTATAAGACGATTTCAATTTATTTATTAATTAATTCTAAATTCATTTCATTCAAGTCACTGAACAGGTTTCAAGGATAACAACAATTTTGTATATACATATAAATTGTATGCAATATTTCACTTTTTATAACATTGATGAATTCACCATTCCGAACATTTTTTTTAGAAAGGATCAATGAAAATAAAATGCAACATTTTGTGGTGATGAAATCATATTTATAGTGACCAATTTTAGGCGGATAACTCTCTCTCTCTCTCTCTCTGTGTCTCTCTCTCTCTCTCTCTCTCTTGCATGTTCGCTATGCATTATTGAAAATGATTTTCCAGATGTTTTCTGATATAACCCAGACATGTCACTTTTCAAAACTTTTCAAGCCAGTGCTGAACTTAGACAAATTTCTATTCCATTAAAAAAGCAACGTTCAGAGAATTTGTACGATACGGGATTGTGTATTGTCGCTAAAACCCGTGTAACGATATGAATTTTTGACACTAGGTGCCTTTTAAGGAAAAGTTCATATGTTTTGAAAAAAAAAAGGCGAACTTTTTTAATAACCCCGACATCTCTACGTTAATCTTGAGAATTAATAATCCATCAAACAATCTGATGGATTATCTCAATTATTTGAAAAATCATATTATCATATAAAAAATTGATTTCTTGGAGATGTAGTCAAAAAGTATACTATTTTCGTTATCATAAATTTGCTCTGCTCTCTGTAAGCAATTCTCTACAAAATTCTATACAAGATTTGTACAATATTTTCTTAATTCAGAGAATCTTGTTACTAAGACCGATTAGAGATTATGTTGAATTCTTGCATATGTGTTCAACTTTAAATTATTGATTATTAACGGAAAAGAGGAGTCAGTCAAAAAGTTTGAACTTTTAATAATTTTTACAAGAGTAAGAATTGAAAGAAAATAGATAACGAATGGATGGACAGACGGACAGACAGAAGGAGTTTCACTTTTTGAATTTTAAAATATGATATTGATTAAGTATGATATATATATATGTCCAACTGAAAGGTCTTCTAATTCGAGATCTTGTTGGATTTCTAGAAGTTGAATCAAAAAAAGCTACCATAGGTCACATGAATTCGTATATAAGGCTTGTTCAAAAATATATAGTTCAGATAAGAAATTAAGTTATTTTGAAATTGGAGATGAGAATTATTTACATTCTTACGATTTGATAAATATAATTCGATACTTTCCTTTGTACATGAATATATATATATATTTGAAGGTATATGTGAAAGTTAAGAAATTTAACTCAATTTCGTTAGAATTTGATTTTTGTTTGTTTGTTTACGAAATAAATGTATGAGCAAATCAAACATTAGCATCTCAAATGCCTGAATGTATATATTCATATATATATATATATATATATACATACATATACATTAAACAAATATGCACACCAAAATACTCATTCATTTTTTACAAATATGTAAACGGAAATTTTTGAAAAAAAGAAAAAATTCCACTTGGCACCACAAGCATGAAACAAGACAAGACAAAGCAAAAAGAAAAAAGAAAAACACAAAAGAACATTTAAAGAAAACCAATAACAACAAAGTCGCTTTGAAAAAAGCAAGACCTTGGTCTTGAAATTGATGCCAAAAAAAAAAAAAAAAACCGAAAAAACACAAAAAACAAAAAAGCTACATAGATGTATATATATATATATATATATATATATATTTGCATGACAAAATAAACTTAAACTACCACGCATACACACATACATACATACATTGCACACAATATTGCGTATGGCTTGTGTCGCTGTATTATTTTTTCAAGTTGTAACAATTTGCCTTCAAACGCGCGCGATACAAGCGTTCAAGATGACTGCCGACTGCATCTTGTAAATCAATTGATTTCATTTTTCATATACCGTAAGTCAAAGCGTTTTCAATTTTCTATGATTTTTTAAATTTTTTTGCGGCATATTCTCGCTTTTCTTATGATGTTTGCTCTATTATATGTTAAATATAAATAAGACAAGAGAAGATTTTGCGAGATTCGAGTCAATTATTAGACGAAATATATTTTTGAAAAAAAAAAAAAATAAAAAAAAAATAATTTTAATTGATTTTTGATTTTATACGAAATTTACAAAAATATGAAATGCACTTAACTTTAATTGAAATCAATTTTAAAATAAACAATTCATTGCCTCTTACATGTTCGCCTGCCAGTATTTCTCTCATTATAAGGGAATTGTTTTTTTTTTTTTTTTCTTTTTTCTTTTTTGCTTTCGTTTATTCATTCTTTCAATGTTTTATTTAATTATATTTTGTTTGTTTTTTTGTTGTTTTTATTTTCTATTTTCAATTTGGACGCTTTTATAATTGAAATTTACCGTATTGTGGCGCCTTTTTGTTATTATTCTCTGCCTATAAGTGCAGATATTAGTATGCGTGCTTGTCTAATCGTGTTTACGCTTGCATGTGTTTGTTACACAATTCTGATGCACGTTTGCGAAAAAATACTAAAAATAAAATAGGGAATCAGAATAAATGTTTACGTAATCAATTGTTTACATTCTCCCAGCGTTTCATTTCTTTTTTGTTTTTTTTTTTTTTCTCGTTTTTTGACTTAATCAGATTGTTTACTTTCCGAGAAAAATCCTCAATTATCAATTTTATCATACGCAGAAACATGAATCGGATATCTTGTTGAGCAAGGGCGCAGGCGCAAGTTCGACGAAAACGAAAAGCCTTTCTTTGCTAGAAGACACAAGTCTTGAATTCATTATTTTTCTAAACAAAATCATTTGAACAAGATCGATGAGTTTCTATTGTTGTTGTTGTGTAGGCAACTATTTCATTGGAATGCACTTTGTAGGATGCATCCTAACAGGCGAAAGACCGCGTTTGATATTTGTTGCCGTTGAACATATATTCCTTTGATTCGCTTGAAATTCTAGGTTGATTGATTAATTAATGATACGCTTGTCTGTCTCATTGTTCATTAGTGAATTTGTCCCTATCTCCGATACGCGTTCATCTATTCGACCGAAAATCTATTCATTTTTTTGCGGTCCGCTTATCCATTAGGATTTCGTGTACTTTTTATTTCCTCATACCTTCGTCCATTTATACTTCGGTTTCCCGTTTAATCTGCTCGTTCATGTTTCTTTCAATTTAATCACATGCTCGCTCACATCTCTATCCGCATGGCGGACTAATGATCTCTTTATTCGCCCCAGCCTGTTTATCTTTTCATCTAACTCCATTTCTCTTTCCATCAGTCCGTTCACCTAGTTCGCCCGCGATACCCATATGCCAATTATTTGCTCGCTTAATTGTGTAATCCATTAGCTAATCGTTTCCCTATCAGTCCGCAATAATGCACAGGGCAATATGCAGTGTAAGTTAATCGTTTTTAAATTAGGAAACGACTCGAGAGAAACTCGAAATCGGAAAGCATATGAGACCTGTAGCTTGAAAGTCCCAACAACAACATTTATAAGCAGCCCATCTAATTGTCAAGAAGTTGAAAGCGACCTATAAAAGTTGAAATTTGAGATCGGTGTCCGTTTAGCATTTTGTAGTCATATTAGAAAAATTTCTTCTCTTAACACTTTTTGAAGCAATTCTCTGCTATAAACAATTTTTACAAGTTGATGGTCTTCCAAATAAATTATAACAATGGCTAGGGCTAGACTGTGGTTTAAGAGAATAGTTTATATATATAGGTGCTGAGTTGACAAATAATATGAGAGTCTGCTTGATATGATTGATGGTTATAATGATTTTTAAATCACTTTATCAATTAATTGAATGTATTTTTATTTATTTGCAGTGATGTGGAAACCTTCGTGCATTTGCTTAAGGGCTCGCTGGGCTCCGGCATATTGGCCATGCCTATGGCCTTCTTAAATGCCGGTCTATGGTTCGGTTTGGTCGCCACATTTTTAGTTGGTGCCGTTTGCACATATTGTGTACATATATTGGTTAAATGTGCTCATATCTTGTGTCGGCGTCGCAAAATTCCAATGATGGGCTTTGCGGATGTAGCCGAACAAGCATTCCTCGATGGCCCGACAAGTTTGCAGCGCTGGTCGCGTTTTATACGTTTTATTGTGAATTGTTTTCTGGTCATTGATTTAATCGGCTGCTGTTGCATCTATTTGGTGTTCGTCGGCACCAATGTTAAGCAAGTAGTTGATTTCTATACGCAAGAGAGCGAGCTAAGCATACGTTTATGGATTGTTATTGTCACTTGTCCTCTGCTCTTCATGTGCCTAATAAGAAATTTGAAGTTTTTGGCGCCATTCTCAATGGTTGCGAATCTCTTGATGTTCGTTGGCATTATAATCACCTTTACATATATATTTACCGATTTGCCAAGTACAGAGGGACGCGTCGGTATTGCCGATGTTACGCAATGGCCATTATTCTTCGGAACAGTTATATTCGCCTTGGAAGGTATTGGTGTAGTAATGTCATTGGAGAATGACATGAAAAATCCAGCCCATTTTATTGGCTGCCCGTCGGTATTAAATTTGGGTATGGGAGTTGTGGTCTCATTATATACACTTGTCGGCTTTTTTGGCTATTTAAAGTATGGTGCTGAAACTAAGGGTAGCATAACGCTAAACTTGCCAGTCGAAGATAAGTAAGTAAAAAAAAAAAAAAATAAATAAGTTTAACCATTCATATCATCATCATCATCATCCTCATCATAAGTGAATGATTAAATAATTGCTTTCGCCCATAGATTGGCTCAGTCGGTGAAATTGATGATTGCCATTGCCATATTCTTTACTTTCACGTTACAATTTTATGTACCTATCAGTATTATTTGGAAAGGTATTCAGCATAAAATTGCTCCCGAGAAACAAAATATGACTGAGTATGGTATCAGAATATTGCTGGTGGTAAGTATAATTTGTATAATTTGTAATTATTGACTCGAGAGAGAAATGCAATTAATAAAAAATGCAAATATTTCCTTTTCAATTCAGTTATTATGCGGTGCCATAGCAGTGGCCTTGCCAAATTTAGGTCCATTCATATCATTAATCGGTGCTGTATGCCTAAGTACTTTGGGTATGATAGTGCCATCAATTATTGAATTGGCTGTCTATTATGAAGATCCCGGTTACGGTCGTGGCAAATGGCGTCTATGGAAGAATGCTTTCTTAATAGCGTTTGGCTTTATCGGTTTCTTTACTGGCACCTATGTCAGTATATTAGAGTTTCACGACGAATTCAACGGCAGTCATTGATTTATATTTAATTTTATATCATTATTTAATTTTCGCTTTAATTTTAGCTTTAAATAAATTATATTTAGATTAAAGCGTAAAACTAACTCACATACACGTAACAGGGATCATGCATATATATATGCATGTATATATATATATATATACATATATATATATATACATGCATAATACATTTATAAATATTGAATTGAGTCTTAATTGAAAGCCACATTGAAAAGCCATCTTGTAGTTTTAACACAACACACAATATTTCTTTTATTTTTTACTAAACGAATTTTAAAGTAGACTTCTAAGTAGAAGAAATTTTTCTATATTTAAAAAATATTATGTTTATTTAGTTTAGTAAAATTTGAAACTAAAACAAAAGAAAACAAAAAGAAAACAAAACAAAAAAAAAAAAATAAATTTTTTCGAAAGTAGTTTCAAAAAAGTACATGTAGCGCGTTTGTTTGAAAATATTTCGATTCATTTAATGCACAGATGAACAATACAAGCAGTGCTGTAAAGCCAAAGACTATTAAATATTATGTTAAAAAGCTTAAGAATCCTGATAATAATGAAAGAGAAGTTTATTCAAGTCATCTGTTAAGTGTTTCGAGATCGTTGATCAATATGAAATTCTTTATGTGCTTAGCATATTATAACAGAAAATCATAAAATTTTACAAAACTTGAGGAAAATTTAAAAAATAAAAAAAAAATTTTTTTTTCCACTTTTTTTTTTTTTTTTTTTCAAACAATCGCTTTTTTTCGTGTGAATAATATTTAAGTAAATCGAGTACCTTTCTTTGACCTCTTAATTATTTAGAGTTATTATGTTGAAAATTTTAATATATATTTAACTAAAGTCTTTTAACTTGATGTACATTTTTTGTATTAAATTTTTTTTTTTTTACAAAATTTTGAAAGCGACAAAATGTAATTTAATAAATTAATTTGCATGAACTTAAGATTGATATCCATACATACATATATATATATATATATATATACATATATATGAACTTAAAATGTAAAAGTGGCTGTAATTATTTTTTATTTCTTTATTTTTAACAAGTATTTAATAATGAAAAATTTTTTAATTTTCACTTTGGCCAGTTTCTTTTAAATTAATTTCGAATTTTCCCCTTTTTTAAATACTTTTACTCTTATTATTATTATTATTATTATTATTATGATTATTATTATTATTATTATTATTATTATTATGATTTTTATCAATAGTGTCGCCGACGATCAAGGAACGGACAAACACTAAATTATGCATTGTGCATAATCGATAAAGTATCATTTTGCTTCGTCGATTCATCCTCAGAAAAATCGAATTGAAAAACTTGAACTTTTTACAAGTGCTTCTACTATCGATTTCCAAGTTAAACTTATCTACCACGGTTAAAACAATTATTAAGAAAATTAACTGATACGATATTTATATCTTCTATCTATCTGTCATCTATCTGTCTATCTAGAAGATCTAGATTATCATCTTATTTGCTTTTTATTGTCCCCGCTATCAAAGGAAATGTCGTTATTCCGTTTGGAACCTTTGGAACCTGATAAAGTATTAAATATTAATACCAAGATTCTTAAAAGAATTTAATCAATATTCATCAGTCTGTCTGACGTGATCGCTAGCTTGATCCCTTGTTGAAATTTTTGCGATTACACATTGAGTATAGAAAGTCGAAATTAGATATATATATATATATATATATATATATATATATATAGTAAAAATGCTATAGTAAAAATGGCTATAATGCCATCTGATAAACGAATACGTTTCGTTTGAGTAGTTGAAAAACTAAAAAAAATTTAATAAAATTATGAATATTTTACGATATTATGTTTGCAACAGAAATTCCATTCTATAGTTTATTATAGAATATTATAAAGAATTAATTTTGATTAACTATTACTACTAGTACTAAGTTTTTATAATTGACTGAAACTGATGGATTTTCAAGGTCCCTTCCAATGTGATCGACATTTTTTTACACATTTGATTAATTTGCTTCTTTTTATCTTAATTCTTAATTTTTACCATTACTTTTGACTTTGACTAAAAAGAAAAAGATATGTTTCTATATAAATGAATACGAAAAAATAAAATATATATATATATATATATATATATATATATAATGTTTTTAAGAAATAATATTATATATATTTATTATATTATATATA